GAAGTCTTAAATTTAGGCATTCACGGGGCGATAAAAGCGCCATTGCCCCTCCCCGGTCTTAAACGGCAGCTGATAAGACTTATTATTTAGTGGCAGTGCACCCGTGTATTTCATAGGCTGTTGCTGTTACCGTATTGCCCATGGAATAAAAGGCGCCCTGGTTTTGGCAGCACGTGCCTAGGAGCACACGCATGGTTTGAAGACAGGACTGCTACCAGAGGGAAAGGGTGGCCTTGCAGCTCCTCTCTCGGTCCTGAGGCCTCCCTGGGGCTGGGGGGGGCGCAGGCACTTGCTGAGGGTGGCAGGCATTTCGGAGAAGGCAGAGATTTTTCAAGACCATGCAGCGGCCCCTGACCCTGCGGTGCGCAGCAAGGCAGGGAAAGCTCCCTGCCAGGTCAGGGCATCCAGGCTGGGCAGCCGGCACACGGTGCGGTTTTTTTCCTAAGCGCAAAAATTACCACCTTTTGCTCTGGGAAGCCCCCACATTGTTCGACAACCAAAACCAAGTGGGGAAAACAAAAAATCTTTTGCACAGTGTCGAGAAGAGATTTTGCAGATTTCCCTGTAAGGATTTGACCCAGACCAGTTAAAGTGCCGGCTATTAATCAGCATGTTTAGTCACGAAGCAAACATTTCTCCCTGTTCTCTTGGAGTACAGTTTCCAGATGGCAGCCCAAATCGATCTCCTTACAAACGCAGCACAAGCCTTCTAAAGTAACACTTCATATTTTGCAAATCAAATCTGCATTATCCATAATAAGGATGTATGTTTTTTCTCCAGAGAAAAAGTTCTCAGTCCCATGGACTCGGTAAAGCTAGGAGTGGGCCATTTATCAATAATTTTAACATAAATGTCTGTCCATGTGACATTTAGAGAGATGAATTGCAGAATGTTTCTATGGAAACAGTTTAGCTGTAGTGCATCCAAGAGGAACAATCTATCCCATACGATAGTCACAAACGTAGCCTGGAAAAAAAGAAGTGCTTTTTACTCTAAAGGCAATGCAAGTATAGGTGTTACATTATTTTATTCAGAAAAAAAAGAAAATGTTAAGAAAAAAGTTAATCTATCTTTTACATTGAACTGCCTGGACACACAAAGCAAGAACATGCATAATAAGGAGCCTAGCCTGAAACAACATCCTTTCAAGTGTCCAGGGATAAAGAGGGGTGTTGAGTTTTGGCTTCAGAAGAATCTTAATACTGAACAAAACATTTTCCAAAAATTCTGCCCCTGGTTTCATTTGGAAGAATGGATCTCAGAGGAGTCATCAGGAATCACTTCTAATTACTGTCTCTATCCCCCTAGAACTGATACTCACCTATTCCTCACTGTTTCATCTATTCCTCAGTTTCTTCAAATCATGCTCGTTTTGGAGCATTGTTTTTCTCATTAACACAACAGTTGAAATGACACTGAATACGAATGAAACACCTCAAATATGGACAGATTCTGATTCATTCATTTGTGCTGTTTGGTTTTATTGAAATCATAGGTTGTTGGAGTTGAAAAGTATATGGGAAAGGAAGTCCATGAATGCACAGTGTTTACTAAAATGAAAAATGGCAACATTCATATTTCAAATTTCAGAGCCTTCTATGAATATAACAAGCGTCCACTCAAAGAGCGTCTTTCATTGCAAAATGCTCTACAAACCAGCACAGACAATATTTTTCACAGCCACTTCTGCAGTTATAACTACAGTGGGAAGAACCAAACTGAGACATCTTGGAAAACTAAAAAAATAAGCATCTTTAAATCCCATATCTCTTAAAACTGAAATGGCTCAAGCAGAGCAAGAAGGAAGGGTTAGATGAAGAAATAGGAGATGTATTGCTTTAAAATACAAAACTGATACTTGTAAAAATTGACACCCAATGTGGCATTTTGGAGAGAAACATACTAGCTTGCTAGGTAGCTTTTTGTATTAATAATATTGTATCACTGTGTTGTTACAAATGGTTTTCTCTGTGTTTTTCTTTAGTTCTCTAGGTGTAGCATTCACTATCCCAAAAGGCTGTACTTAAGTCTAGATTAAAGAAGGAAGAAGATCACCTACAAAAGAAGTTGTAAAAAAGGAATATGAATAATAATTCAGATGAGAAGGAAGAAGCTGTACTCGGTAGGATTAAGAAGGATGCAAAGGTGAAAGGCTATAGGAGATTGCATAGGGAAGGATGATTGATGTGTAAACCCTGTGAACAGGAGGTTTTGAGAACTTTCTGGTGAATTAGTGATTTTTTGTTGTTTCCTAAAAAATGGGTTACTATTGTCTTCCCATCTTCAGAGATCTGAAAATGG